CAGGACAGACTAAGCCAGAATTATTGTCCTCACTGTGTTTCATACTGTAAATGTTACCTTTGAGGAGGTGCTCGGTGGATCCTGGGCTGCTCAATAATAAATTATCCTTCCTCTTGCCAATTCTGAAAAAAAGACAGAAATATGTTGGATGATGTTGGCAGGTGGCTGCCAGAACACAAGGACTGTAAATCATATAGCTTGCCTTTCTGCCTGCCATTTTGATTTTTTTATATGAATTGAAGGATTGTTAAAATGTAGAGGAAAGACAGTTTTGTAGCTTTTTTCCTCTTATTAGTTTTCTCGCTCAGAAAGAGAAATAATTAAGTATTTTTAATCAAGAAGGATATATGCAAAACAAACAGCCAAACTTGCAGATCCACATAAAGTATTACTGGTCAATGAGTGGGGTAATGCCTCTCTGCTTAGTTCTTGTTATGAGCTCAGTGAAGTTTTCAAAGACGCTCAAGCAATGATGAGTGACAGTCATCGTTTAGCTGCATTTAAGATTTCAATTGTGTCCTCTTTGTGCAGTCAAAGATGAGAGCAACAGCGGCAAGTCCTATAATGCTCAAGAGAGGCTGACAGCACCATTTCAAGCTAGTTATTATGATATGTCTGGCTTAGGAAATGTGTAATTATAAAGGGTTTATTGCATGATTGTTCCGAATTGAGAGCATTTAGAGCTCAGTGCAGTGTTTGTCTTAATACACAGAGATATGGACCCTCAGGAAAAGTAAGCTAATGGTAAACACAAACCAGGGAGTTAATATTTGTTCTCACTGGTATTGTTGATTGCTTAACAAATCCTTTGTGGGCAGTATATATTCAACAGTTCCACACAGTCTATGGACACTAAATTACATAACTGTTTATGTAACTAGTATTGTAAATTGGTACTCAGGCTGGGAAGTTTTAGCAAGTGATAGTGCTATATTTTCAAAGGAAAAATGCCCCTTAATTAAAAACAGGCTTGGTTATTAAGCAAGCAAACAACCAAAAAAAAAAAAAGAACAAAAATGAAGGCACCTCCATAGCACAGGAGATGGAAAGGCTTGTCATCCTTTTGTCTTTTTGACTGTGCACTGGAGTTGTTGCTGACGCATAGGTAAGGGTTAACATTTCAAATGGACTGGTTGCCTCCTGATTTCTTGCACATAAAGCCATGAGAAGTTCAGGGAGACACTTCTTCCCCTAGTAATGAAGCTCTCTGCTGCTAATGGCCCATGCAGACTCCCTTGGCTCCTCCAAATTAGAAATACTTTTGTGCTCCTTTGCTTCATTAACAGTAAAGAGAGGGAGATTGGTGGCTATTTAGGGCACGGGGAAATTGGTGGCTATTTAGGGCAAGCGAAAATTGTAGTAATTATGGTTGGTAAATTCTCTTCATGGTGTTCTTCGGCTCTTGATGTTCTTTTGGTGCTTTTCAGAAGAGCCCACCTCTGTCACTGCTGGCATTTGGCCTAAAAGGATGGGAGTTGATTTGAATTTGGATTTTGGCCCCCAGAGATGGTCAGTACAGGCATTTTGCCTACTGAGCAATTGGCCTTTTACATTTTGATTTGCTTTCCAGAAGTCAACATGTGACCCTTTCCATAACTGGCTGTGATAAAGGTCTATTTGATAACCTCCTTATCTACCTGTACTGTGCTGTAGAAAGCGAGTGATACACACGAGTGTCTGTGAAACTGTATCCCACCTAAACTTTGGTTGAAATTGATGGGATGGCTTAATGGGATAGGTGACAATGCCTAAAGAAGGAAGAGGAAAGGCTAGTTTAGGGTCACAGCCTGCTATGGTGGCTCTCTGGTTGGTCATTGTTTAGCATCAGATACTGGATACTGATTGGGAGTAGACAGGCATCCAAAAAAGGTGCTGAAGTCCCAAAGATAAACAAAAGTGAATAAATGTTAGCATTTAGTGGTTTTACAGTATCTGAAGGGGGGACCATGTGTATTAGGGCCTTCAGTATAACTGGGGAGTATGGTATAAAAAAATGACTTCTCCAATAACTAAAATCACAACCTGTAGAAACTGGGAGAAAATATATAAAATATATATAATTATTTGAGAAATAATGAAATCTAGTGTAATGTGGCCTCATTGGGGAAAGTTTCATGGGGTCATATTATAGGAATTGAGACCTTTCTGGAAATATATATCTTAGTGATTGTATTCTTAAATATTGAAGTGTTATTTTCATAATGTTCAAGAAGGTATTCATGATATGCTAAGAAGAATGACATATAGGTTAGTAAGGCAAAATAAGTGACAAAATATAGGTAGGAAGTGTTCAATGTAAACACATGGATAGATCTGAACAAATAATTTTTTTTTTTAGTGTATAGTTAAAAAGAAGATTTGTAGAAGTGGTCTAATTGAGAGAGCTTGAGTAAGGATAGAGTAAATTTATGTTCACAAGGAAGCCAGCATTTTCTTAACCAGTGTCTATGATGAGTGCAGTTGCACATGGTGGCCCAGTAGCACTTTCCTGACCACTAAATATAAGTGTTTTAAGTCATCTCGATGAATACCTTATTGTTTTGGGGTTGACTGTATCAATCTCCGTTAGCTTATGAGCAACTGTTTATCTCCTCTAATAAGTTTCCAAGATATCTCCTTGTACTCATATGGCTTTGGGGTAGACTCCCCCACTGCCAAGAAACATCACTAAATAGTCAGCTGAAGTGTTTTGGCCTGGCTAGCAACAATTATTTCTTGAATACCTGTGTGAAAAGCAATTTTATTTTTTTTACTGTGAATTATTAAATGGAAGTTCAGAATTATCAATTAGTCACTCTTGAATTTAGATATTGTACTTCCAAGTCACATGTCTCTGTGAGACCTAGAAGGATGTACTTTCAGAGCCTAAGACCCTCAGAGTTATTTCTGTGCTGTGTGGAATCCCACTTTCTATACTGGCCAAAGTACTAGCTCATCTACCTAATTGGTATTTCTTACTTCCAACTTATCTCTTATCATATTGGTTTTACATTTATTTCCTAGAAGCCCATCTTTAGTACTTAAATATACTAGTTGGACCAAATTGTGCTGACTGATTTCCTGGGACTCTGAGACTCATGAACAGTTAGGGGAAGAAAGAGTCATGATGATTGAGAACATATGTCTAGAAAATACAAGGAAGAAAACTCAGCTTTCTAAAGCTGTCTAAATATTAAACTTTCAAAATATATTCCAAAAATGTAAGGGTCTTCTCTTTGAGAATGGCCCATATCTGGAAGAAGATATTGCATGGAATTTTATAAATTTTATACAGCCTTTTGCAGAGGATTGGAATTAAACAAATGACCTACATGTCCATTCTGATTCCAAGAATATGCATTAAAAATTTTCTTTCATTCCATTTTAAATCCTGATATAAATGTGAAGAAAAAAACCTCTAAAACAAGCTTGCGTGCCCCAAGCCCAAAGAGAGGAAGAATGCCCTGTGCCCAAAGATTTCCAAATACCCCTGCCTCAGGAATGAATAAGAAAATCTGGTGAAAAAGTAGTTTAATTCCCAGTTACTCTGCGCATTTTTCATTTCATTCATTTATTAGTTAATGAATTAAACAAAAACATTTAATCTCATATCGAATACAGCATATCGAATACTGCATTGCCATGGCTAAGTTTATGTGCCATGAAAGGTTTTAAGTGCATTTTCAAGTGAACAAATATCCTGGATAAATCTAAACATTAAAAATAAGTTGTACAGAATGACAAATCCAACACATTTGAGGCCCTTTCGTAAATGAGCTGAAGGTAGATGCTGTTGCACTTGATGGTTACTGAATCCTTTGCATAGATTATCTCTCTCAATTTCACATTAACTATATGAGATGCATACTATGGCTTCCTCCATTTAAAAAGAAAAAGGATATTAAAGCTTAAAGAGGGTTAGTAATTTGTTCAAGTTCATACACCTAGCACATGCCGACAAAGATTTCCAATTTACACCCATTTGACCAGAGTGCCCAAGCATTTAACACTAAAAACAGTTTCCTTTTCATAATATGCCACCAGATTATAAATTGGCTTTGAATATGCTCATGCCACACCTTACTTTGAAACACAACATCCTCCTCCGTCTCATTTCCCTCTACTTTGAGAATTTAATTATCTGCCTGCAGCAAAATGCCACCGTTAAAGATTCTCATGAAAACTAAACCAAAGGAGAAAGGACAGTATTAATGTGCATTGATTTTTTTTTTCTTACTTTTTTTTTTTTCCTGTTCAGTCTGACTTTCTTTTAGGGTCTTAGAATGTGGCTAAATCTATTTATGTTCTATGAATTCTTAAAATCACTTTCTGGGATGGTCTATATAGAATACTTTGTAGAAATGAATGCATTTTACTTCTGCCTTGTCACACTAATATTGTACTTTGCAATGTTCTGCCTCTGTTTCCTCATTTGGAAACATGCAATTTTCCTAGAAACCCTTGCTAAAAATTAGGAAATTAAAGTGAACTCTGGGTATTATACGTGCCTGTATACTGATCCCGGTCACTGCTTCATGCTGGGGAGAGTGCTGAAGCCATTCTTGAGGGGCAGGTGGATGTGGGTTGTTGAGAACCCTAGGCACATTAGGTTTTGCGTCTCAGTCACTGCTTCCTATAGGATCCCAGGAACCACTTATTGTGTTTTCTGCTGTGAATACACCTAGTCTGTGACAAAATCCTGGCCATGGACATTTCTCTGTTAAAATAATAGTATGTAGTCTTGGCCTATGTAAATTCATTAAGATGGCCTAAGATCTGAGCTTTATTACCACCAACCTACCAGGTCAGTATAATGCCCACAACAGCCAAGAGCAGCTTCCCGCAGGTCTGTTTGACCCACACAGTGATTTCCATAGATACACAGACTGAGGGCCTGAGACACACATGGGAAAGACAGAAGATGAATTACGACCGAGGGAACATGTTAGATGCAGAATGGACAAGTGACTTATAACCTGTTTCTTTTTTTCTTCTCTTTTACCCCCACCCTCACCCACCAGAGCAAATGCTTCCAATGTTTCTTATGATTTAACCGTGATTGACAGCAGAAATAAGACAACCACTGTCAATTATGTGCAGGACACATTGTCTGAGCATCACGGCTGGATGGCGCTGCTCTTGGATCAGGAGACCTACTTGCTGCAATTTGAGACCCCTTGGATAAACAGGTCTCTGCAGGTAACCCAGGCATTCACTTACCGGTGTCTTCTGTTTCCCAGGGATTGTTAGCCTGTGTTCAATGAAAGAATAATTTGCAGATATTAACATCTTATGGTGTTGATAAAGCAGCATTTTGGACAGATGAATATAAACAGAATAAAAGAGATGGTTGCTTTTCTTTTGACTTAAAATATTAGAATCTCTTTAAATATCCCCATGAATACAATGAAAAACAAATTCTAAGCGTTTTTTTAGAATTGTATTCTTATTTTATGGCTTAAGAACTAACTTACCCCCGAGAGATGTGTTTTAGCCAGAGAAAATGTCTTGACAGGGCATTTTTACATTGCTTACTGCCACCTTGTGGTCAATGATCAACTTGCAAATGAAGGTCCATTTGGGGTGGGTTGAAGGAGTAAAATGGTTAGAGGAGGGAAGATAGAAATAGCCACGTGGAAAGTGGGTGCATTTTATGAAAATAAAAAAGTGGGTTCCTCAAGCTTCTTCTCTTCCTTCTAATGTATTTCTTGCTTTATTTCTCATCATACACAATCTCCCTAAAAATCATGAGAGCAGGTCTTAAGGAGCTAGAAGCTTCTTTAGGTATTGCTCTTTCAATTTCCTCCCATTATCTCTCAGAAAGGATGTACACCTCTTCTTCCCTCCTTTGGGGTCACCGAGGGAACCTTCTGGGGAGTTTTCATAAGATGAGGACAGTAGAATAGTGACTCTGGAGGTGGGCACCGTGGATTTCTATCTCGGCTCCTCATTCTCCCACTGCCTCAGTTTCTTCACCTGTAAAATGGGACAGCAGTCATTAGAAAATTTTCAAAGCTTGAAAGCCTCAGTCTGCATAGAATGTACCTGGGCATGTAGCATATGCTCCCGTAAGTTTCAGCATTCCTGTTATAAGTAGAGAACTCATTTACCTTTACCTGCCTATTTTTTTTTAAATTTATTTATTTATGCATACAAGAACTGGGGTACAGGCCCTAGGTGCAGGGGGTGAGAGGATTCACCAGAGACAGAGTGGGGAACAGAACAGGCAGACTGACTGAAACACACTGCTGAGGGGAGCAGCGGGAGAGACAGGAGAGGTCTGCTGCACCATGTGGGTATCTCCTTGGCCGGGGATTGAACTCGTGCTGCTGTGACTGCTGATAGCTTGATAGCACTGTCTTTAACTCCTGAGCCTCTTTAAGTTATGGGAAAATATGAAAAGGAATGCTAGACCTGGTTTTGTCTCTTTTAGCTCTTTGACCTGAGACAAGTCAACTGATTATCAGGGGTCTTGGTTTTCTCCTTTGTTAATTGAGATCGTTAAATAAGAAGAAATTTCTTTCATTCTTCCCAGTCTATGATTTTTTGTACCTATATTTATGAATTTACTATGGATTTAATAGCTCAGAAAACCCAGTTTCCACAAGAAAAGTCATCTATGTCTAAACTCTTCCATCTGTGTTCTTTGCAGTTCCTCTCCTCTCTCTTTCCCTACCTTTCTCCCTCCCTCCCTCTCTACCTCTCTTTTCTGGTAAACCTTCCTTACTAAGTGAGCACTGTTACACTTTTCTTTCACTTCCAGTACTCAGCAACAGTTGCCAACTTTGCTCCTGGGAATTACCTCCTGCTGGTACACACAGTCCTGTGGCCTTACCCAGACATCATCGTAAAGTGCGGGAGTCGAGTAGGACAGTCCCTTCCAGCTCCTCCATCTCCTGGTCAGGACCAAGCTTGCGACTGGTTCTTCAATAGCCAGTTGAGGCAACTCACCTATCTGGGTAAGTATACTTGGATGAGCATTTTGAGGGTGTGTAGTCAGAAACCACTATTCACTTTGAATCAACACATTGGTGCTATAATGTGATGCGCTGAAGGGAACAGCTGTGAGTTATAGTTAAGGAGGCAGACTCTAAAATCAGACTGCCCAATAGAAATCCCAGCTCAGGGCCTCCCCAGTGGTGTAGCAGGTTGAGCACAGCTCTGTGAAGCTGTCTGCAGCCTCTGCAGTGTGGGTTTGATTCCTGGCTAGCCAGGGAGAGTCCCACATGGCACGGCAGACCTCTCCTGTCTTGCCAGCTGCTCCCCTCAGCAGTGTATTATAGTAGATCTGCCTGTTCTGCTCCCCGCTCTGCCTCTGGTGAATCCTCTCACCCTCCTATGCTCTGGCCTGTACCCCAGCTTTTGTGTAAATAAATAAATCTTAAAAAGAAATCCCAGCTCAACACTTACTAGCTAGGGAGCACTGACCAGGTTCTCTCTTTATCTCTTAAGTCTCAGCTTCCTCATCTATAAAATGGAATAATGAGGGGACCTACCTCAAAGTATAGAAATTAAATAAATTAAAGTATTTAGCAGAGAAAAGCTTAATAAACATTGCTATTATTTTTAATTCATATTAGGACAGTGTATGTTTATAGAAAGAGTGACTGTAAATAAGATGGCTGGTCATGATCACAGATACAAGGAGCAGCAGGGAGTGACTGACACAGGGAGAGGCTGAATGAAGAGTGAAGCTAATGCAGAACATGAGAAGCAAAGTCATGGAAGGTCAGGGATCCGAGGTCAGGAAGATGAGGTGGCAAGGACAGCTAAGCTGAGGACCAGAAGTGGGCTCTGTCTTGTATCAGAACACGGTGTTAGGAGGAAGAGTCCTGTATTTCACAGGACCAGGAACCCTGTTATGATTGCAGAAGTAACTGAGGGCAATAAGATTTTATTACCTTCTTACCTTCTTGTGCTTGTTTCACAGAAACCCAGTGTGTGGCTCAGGACCATAGATTTCTTTTGGCTTCCTATGCTTGGCTGTCACTCCTTTTCCATACCCTGGAGCATCTGAGTGCCCATAGTGTCCACTTACACCAACCTCAGCTCAGTGTGGTCTGTCAAGAGAACCTGGTAAACCAGGTCTCTAGATGACAATTACTGTGGATTGGTCTGAGTAGATGCTGGTCAAGTTTAGGGGACCTTGTCAGCATGGCAGATCCCAGACGCCGACACAACTTGGCCTAATTTAAGGGCTGGACAGTTGTTCTGAGTCCCCTGTCACTCACACTTGTGCCTCACCATATGTCAGCTGATCTATACTTGAGCCTTAGGACTATTAAATTTTAATAGCACCACAGAGGAGAGAGTGGAGCTTCCCTGGTATTTTTCAAGTCTTTGCCAAATGGATTGTTGTATATTTTATTTGCACTGAATTGCACCATTCAGATTTTATTTCTGATTTGATCCATCTATAAATGTAACCTAAAACTATAAAAACTCAGGATGGACAGAGATTTCTGAGACTGTTTTACCTCTAGAGCAGAATACAGCCATTAGGTAAGAGCAAATAGTTGCCATTAACTTTAACTATGGCTATTCCCTTGATATATCTTCTGGAACAAGATTTTAATTTTAAATTGTTCTCATTCTATGATTTAGCTTGTATCCAAAGAGCTGGTCTTGTCCATTGGCCAAATTTTGTTCATGAACTGCAATTTATACCCTCATATAGGCCAACAGGACAAAGGAACATTGTGGCAAAAATTAAACAAAAAAAAAAAAAAAGGAAAATCATGTAGCTACAAATGTTCTCCTTCTTTGGTAATTTATTGAATTAATAGCAAGAACTTACATGGTATAAATGAACATCTGTGTATATAGATGTATGTAGAAGCATTTACTTGTACCTATGTGCATATATATGATGTAGATGAACATTTCAGCATAAAATATTTTTTTAAAGATTTATTTATTTTATGCATCTGAGAACTGGGGCACAGGCCAGAGGTGTGGGAGATAAGAGAATTCACCAGAGACAGAGCAGGGAACAGAACAAGCAGACAGACCGAAAATACTGCTGAGGGGAGCAGCAGATGAGTCAGGAGAGGTCGCCGCGCCATGTGGGCAGCTCCCTGGCCGGGGATTGAACTCATGCTGCAGTGGCTGCAGACAGCTTCACAGGTAGCATCTTAACCCCTTGCACCTCCAGGTAGGCCCAGCATAAAATATTTTTAACAGGTAAAAAGACTTTATTAGTTTTCACAAAATTATTTGTATCAGAATAGTCTAGCATAGTCTCCTTTGAATAATATGAACTGAAATAGGTTTGAACAGGAAGACTCAGGAGGTTGGCAGAATGTGGAGACCCTTGTTTCTAGAGGCTTTGCAGTGCTGCATAGTGGCTTTCATGGTTATTTGTGTTCAGATGCTCTGAGTGGGTGGGGCAGGTGGGTGGCTGGCACAGAGAGGAGATGAAGACCCAGAAGAACTGAGACTGGCTCTGCTCCTCTATAGGAGCTGCCCATGCCACTATATAGGGTTGTGTGAATTCTGTTATGATGTGGGTTATCCTCTGTGTAAAGTTTGCAGCATCTCTAAATAGGCTAATAATGCCATAATAACAGCGAGGTAGCACCAAAAGACCCCAGGCAATAGAGTTCCAGTTCTCTGCCGTGCATTTTACATATTGATGAATTTGTTACTTTCACTTAATTGGTTTTTTTCCCAAACCCTATGACTTTCTAGGTCTGTGACTGGGATAATTTACATAAAATCCATTTAATCCAAGAAGAGAGGCTAAGTCAAGGCCTTACAATCTATGTGGACATATACCTGGGATGCAAAGACATGGGGAGACTTGTGTGAACAGAGCTTCATTTTATCACAGGGACCCTGTTTGGCCTCCTTCACAGCCACTGAATTTCCTCTTAGACTCAGGGGGTGAGGTGGAGAATCCTTCTTCTTTTGCTGGCTGGTGTTCCATTCACAGTGCTGCTCCACTGACAATTGGCTGTGTTTCATTCATTTCTTGACCACTTCTAAGTAGACCATCTTTTGTATTATTTGTTTGCAATCTTACTGCATCCCTTAGGATAGGAAGTTTCAAAAAATCATAATTATCTTCATTTCCTCCATTGGGCTGATTCTTGTGTGATTTAAGATACCTGACCAGTGTAGGCCCAGCCCAGAAAGGAACAGCTCAGGACCCAGGCATTCTGGCTCCTGGCTATGGATCTCTCCACTAGAGTGTGCTGCCCACTAAATAATCATTGATCACTAACCAAAAAGGGTTGGGGGGACTGGCGAGGCTGTGGGAGAAAACTTCTCTGATCCCCAGTGACCAAACAAAACAAACAAACAAACAAAAAAAAACCCTGCACGTCTAATATGTTTTGACCCTTGCATTTCTCTTCTCCATCGAGGCAAGTTTTGTCTTTGTTCTGCAAACATTTTCATGGAATGCAAGTTCTTTGGAAAGCTCATGGCCAGAGCTCAGGGCTTAGGGTTTTAATCAGTGGCTGGCTGGCTATTTCACCTGAGGCATGGAATTATAAATGCTCCATGCCTCAATGGTTTCATTTATACAGCGAGGTGAAGAATATTTACTTATCTTTTGGAATTGTGGTGCAAAACACCCAAATATCTTCAAGCATGATTAACATGCCAGGTCACTTTACTACAAATTTTCTTAATAGATTATGTCTCTAGAATTTTTTTTTTTTTCACAGAAAAGTAGCCATGTCATGTGCCTTGCACTCAGTTATACACGTCATAGCCTTTCTGCAAGGGTCTCATTCTGTTTATCTTGGGGGAGATTTTGCAAGAACTCTGAGGTCCACGATAATATGACAAAGATGGTCTGCGGGTGCTGTGATTGAAATGTAATACCACTTCAGCAATTGTCATCCACAGAACAGGATAACCTTGCTTATTTAACATTATCTTTTAAGGAGATTGGTTCAGGTTTCCTTTTAAAAAACGCCAGAGAATTCCACCCAAGGAGCCACTTACAAAACAAGCCACAAGTGAAGAACTTGTATGTGGCAGTTAGTGTTGGGACCGAGAAAGGGCAATATTTGATGTGACGAACACTCATGAATTCCAAACTGTATCTTCTATGCTGTGTCTGGGAATGGGTATGACTGTAGAACAAGTGTTCTTTTATATTTTTGAAGTTGGAATCCAATGCAATAAGCCCACTTTCATGTATATGTGATAGGATTCACTGTCAGCTCTGTCCTACACAGATAGTTCCCCACTGCCTCTTTCCCTGCTGTTTTTTTTTTTTTTCCCAGGGATGTTTCAGTTCATGGTGAACTATTTTTATTTTTTAGTTACATTAATGCTATGAAATAATTAGTCAGCTAATTAATCTGGTTTACAAGCTTTGTAGGATTCTTCAGCTGTCAGTCAGACCCAGGCCCGAGGCCTACATCTAGTCTCAGCTCTCTTGCCCATGTGATTCCCGTTGCCATGGCTACTGGCTACATCTGCTGACACCCCACTCTCTATTTATTGCTTAATTAAGAATTTCACGCTCAGCCCTTATCTGCCTCTAAGAACAAGCGCACACTGTTAAGAAATTCCAAATTTAGGCCCAGGCACAAGGAAAGCCTTTCTTGAGGGCTTGGCTGGATGGAGCCTCTCTAACGATCTTCTCGGCATCCCAGCCGCCACCCTTCAATCAAAAATCATTAAATGGGGCAGAGATAATGAGCATGCAGCATATCAAAAGCAGGATGTTTGGTTGGTCCAAGGAGGAAAAGCTGCTAGGCCCCATGCTCAGCTTTACTTCAAAGGGAGATGAGACCCCTCATCACTGGGGCCTGATAAAGCCTCATTTGTTCTGGGATTGACTTATGCAAAAGGTCTGGTATGTCGAGGTCCCATCTCACAGGCGTGGGGTCCCCCCACCTCTTCCTTCTACCTCCACCAACCCCCCTCCCTGGCCTTCCGCACACTCGTGTGTCAGCACTTAGGCAGCTGGGTCCCCCAAAGCATCAGGCGGAGCGTG